TTCCTTGCTGTCATCTGTGTAGGACCCATCTTGTTTAAGTAGGGTTAAAGCAAAATAAATCCCCGGGCCCTGATGAACTTTTTTCAAGGGTTCTTAAGGAATGCAAAATGGAAGTCTGTGAACCATTAACTAATATTTTTAATTTATCTCTTCAAACAGGTGTAGTGTCTGATATGTGGAAGATGGCTAATGTAATTCCTATTTTTAAAACAGGGGACAAGTCGTTACCGTCAAATTACCGCCCAATAAGCCTGACCTCAATTGTAGGCAAATTACTAGAGTCAATTATAGCTGAGATTATAAGAAGCCATCTCGATAAGCATAGCTTGATTAATGATACTCAGCATGGATTCACAAGAGGCCGGTCTTGTCTAACTAGTTTATTAACTTTCTTCAGTAAAGCTTTTGAGGCTGTTGACCACAATAAAGAATTTGATATTATTTACTTAGATTTTAGTAAGGCTTTTGATAGAGTTCCGCACCATAGACTGTTAAAGAAAGTAGCAGCTCATGGCATTGGGGGAAAAGTGCTCTCATGGATCGAGTCATGGCTCACAGACAGGAAGCAGAGAGTGTCCATAAATGGGGTTAAATCCGAGTGGGGATCTGTAACAAGTGGCGTTCCACAGGGATCAGTCTTGGGCCCGTTGTTGTTTATAATATATATCAATGATCTTGATGAAGGAATTACTAGTGATAAATTACATTCACTTGTTAGACGAAGAATGAGTGGAGACAGGATCGAAGTGTATAAATGGAAGATAGGTATTAATAAAGAGGATATTAATAAGGACTTGAGGATGTCTCTCCAAGAGAGAACCCGCAGTAATGGATTTAAATTAGATAAGTTTAGATTTAGAAAATATTTAGAAAAGTGTAAATTTTATAAATTTATGATAAATTTAGATAATTTTAGGAAAGTGTAAATTAGATAAGTTTCGATTTAGAAAGAAGGTAGGTACTGGTATTCAGAGATGTCGATGATACAACAGAATAAGTGTCAGGGGCCCAAGACTGTTGAGCTGCCTCCCAGCATACATAAGGTTGTCTTCAAAACCCCTGGTTGTCTTCAAAACCCCTGGTTGTCTTCAAAACCCCTGGTTGTCTTCAAAACCCCTGGTTGTCTTCAAAACCCCTGGTTGTCTTCAAAACCCCTGGTTATCTTCAAGAAGTCGCTGGACAAACACACAAAGTCAGTACCTGACCAGCCGGACTGTGGCTCCTGCCTTGGTTTACGTGCATCCAGCAGCTGCAACCTGGTTGATCAGTCTCTGATCCACCACCAGGCCTGGTCCTGGACCGTGCCGCGGGGGCGTTAACCCCCGAAAACTCCTTCCAGGTATGCTGGAACAATCATCCAAGTAGGGTGACTGAGGCTAGGACCTTGTGTCAAACTGAATAACAATATTGTGGGATAAATAAAACTATTGTGGGATAAATAAAACTAGTCTTCAAGCAACATAAATTATTATTAAATAATTTAATTATATACATAAATAGCATGTGGAAGTTGTGACGACTTTTGTGACTTACTGAATAATTGGTACGACCCCTGCCAGCGCCTTCCTGGGTAAGTCTTGACCCGGTACGAGTGTATATGTTGGGGGTGTGTTTCTTTAAGACACCTGTTGTCAGTGTTCACCTAGTAGTAAGTAGGTACCTGGGTGTTATTCACCTTATACCTGCTGTCACTGTTCACCTAGCAGTAAGTAGGTACCTTGGTGTTAGTCACTTTACACCTGCTATCCCTGTTCACCTAGCAGTAAGTACCTGGGTGCTAGGTACCTACTTACTGCTATGTGAACAGGGACAGTAGGTGTTAGGAAACACGACCAATTTTTCCAACCGTGCCGGAGACTGAACCACGGACACTAGTATCCTAAGACAAAAGTGAATTAAGACACAAACCAGCTTGTCCCCCAAAAGTCACTGACTCTTGCTCTCACACAGTGTAGAGAGTCAGTGTAGAGAGTCAGTGTAGTGAGTCAGGTGACTCTTGACTCTTCACAAATGGCCCCACGAACTTCCACGATTTTTTTATTTATAAATAACATTAAATAATTTGATTTTTTCTGAGTTAGTCTGAGAATCCTTGAAAATTTCTGGTGACTATTGTGTTTCTAGATTGTTATTGTGTTGCTAGATTAATATTGTGTTGATAAATGTATTGTATCACAGTGTGTGACTAGTTAATGGGCCAAATTAGAGCGAATCGTTGTATGTTTGGCCCTTCTATGTGCAGGTTACTGTGTATTGCTCCTGTCACAATATTGTGTCTCCTTCTGTATGTTACGTGTGTTAGGTGAGGTATTGGTAGCCTGTGTATTGTCTGGTTGATGTACTGTCTGGTTGATGTACTGTCTGGTTGATGTACTGTCTGGTTGATGTACTGTCTGGTTGATGTACTGTCTGGTTGATGGATTGTCTGGTTGATGTACTGTCTGGTTGATGTACTGTCTGGTTGATGTACTGTCTGGTTGATGTACTGTCTGGTTGATGTACTGTCTGGTTGATGTACTGTTGTTATGGATTGTTGGTTGAGTACTGTCTGGTTGATGTACTGTCTGGTTGATGTACTGTCTGGTTGATGTACTGTCTGGTTGATGTACTGTCTGGTTGATGTACTGTCTGGTTGATGGATTGTCTGGTTGATGTACTGTCTGGTTGATGTACTGTCTGGTTGATGTACTGTCTGGTTGATGTACTGTCTGGTTGATGTACTGTCTGGCTGAAGGATTGTCTGGTTGATGGATTGTATGGTTGATGAGATTGTCTAGTTGATGTATTGTTGCGTTTCTGTTGAGATTGTCTGGTTGATGTATTGTCTGGCTGATGTATGACTGGTTGATGGATTGTCTGGTTGATGTATTGTCTGGTTGAGAGACTGGTTGGTGGATTGTCTGGTTGAGAGACTGGTTGATGTATTGTCTGGTTGAGAGACTGGTTGATGGATTGTCTGGTTGAGAGACTGGTTGATGTATTGTCTGGTTGAGAGACTCTGGTTGATGTATTGTCTGGTTGATGTATTGTCTGGTTGAGAGACTGGTTGATGGATTGTCTGGTTGAGAGACTGTCTGGTTGAGAGACTGGTTGATGGATTGTCTGGTTGAGAGACTGGTTGATGGATTGTCTGGTTGAGAGACTGTCTGGTTGATGGATTGTCTGGTTGAGAGGCTGGTTGAGAGATTGTCTGGTTGATGGATTGTCTGGTTGAGAGACTGTCTGGTGTTGTTAGAGATTCTGTTCTGGTTGAGAGATTGTTGAGAGATTGTCTGGTTGATGGATTGTCTGGTTGAGAGGCTGGTTGAGAGATTGTCTGGTTGAGAGATTGCCTGGTTGAGAGACTGTCTGGTTGAGAGATTGTCTGGTTGAGAGATTGTCTGGTTGAGAGACTGTCTGGTTGAGAGATTGGTTGAGAGATTGTCTGGTTGAGAGACTGTCTGGTTGAGAGATTGGTTGAGAGATTGTCTGGTTGATGGATTGTCTGGTTGAGAGGCTGTCTGGTTGACAGATTATCTGGTTGAGAGGCTGTCTGGTTGAGAGACTGGTTGACAGATTATCTGGTTGAGAGACTGGTTGATAGATTGTCTGGTTAAGAGATTGTCTGGTTGAGAGATTGTCTGGTTGAGAGGCTGTCTGGTTGACAGATTATCTGGTTGAGAGACTGGTTGACAGATTATCTGGTTGAGAGACTGTCTGGTTGATAGATTGTCTGGTTAAGAGATTGTCTGGTTGAGAGATTGTCTGGTTGAGAGACTGTCTGGTTGAGAGATTGTCTGGTTGATGGATTGTCTGGTTGAGAGATTGATTGAGAGATTGTCTGGTTGAGAGACTGTCTGGCTGAGAGACTGTCTGGTTGAGAGATTGTCTGGTTGAGAGATTGGTTGAGAGACTGTCTGGTTGAGAGATTGTCTGGTTGATGTATTGTCTGGTTGATGTACTGTCTGGTTGATGTACTGTCTGGTTGATGTACTGTCTGGTTGATGGATTGTCTGGTTGAGAGACTGTCTGGTTGATGTATTGTCTGGTTGAGAGACTGTCTGGTTGAGAGATTGTCTGGTTGAGAGACTGTCTGGTTGAGGGATTGTCTGGTTGAGAGACTGTCTGGTTGAGAGATTGTCTGGGTGAGAGACTGCCTGGTTGATGTATTGTCTGGTTGAGAGACTGGTTGAGAGATTGTCTGGTTGAGAGACTGTCTGGTTGAGAGATTGTCTGGTTGAGAGACTGTCTGATTGATGCATTGTCTGGTTGAGAGATTATCTGGTTGATGGATTGTCTGGTTGAGAGATTGTCTGGTTGAGAGATTGGTTGAGAGATTTTCTGGTTGAGAGATTGTCTGGTTGAGAGGCTGTCTGGTTGATGGATTGTCTGGTTGAGAGATTGTCTGGTTGAGAGACTGGTTGAGAGATTGGTTGAGAGACTGTCTGGTTGAGAGATTGTCTGGTTGAGAGACTGTCTGGTTGAGAGATTGTCTGGTTGAGAGACTCTGGTTGAGAGTCTGGTTGAGAGACTGGTTGAGAGACTGGTTGAGAGATTGTCTGGTTGAGAGACTGTCTGGTTGAGATGTTGTCTGGTTGAGAGATTGTCTGGTTGAGAGACTGTCTGGTTGAGAGTCTGGTTGAGAGACTGGTTGAGAGACTGGTTGAGAGACTGGTTGAGAGATTGGTTGAGAGACTGTCTGGTTGAGAGATTGTCTGGTTGAGAGACTGTCTGGTTGAGAGTCTGGTTGAGAGTCTGGTTGAGAGACTGGTTGGAGAGACTGGTTGAGAGATTGGTTGAGAGCTGTCTGGTTGAGAGATTGTCCGGTTGTCTGGTTGAGAGACTGTCTGGTTGAGAGTCTGGTTGAGAGACTGGTTGAGAGTCTGGTTGAGAGACTGGTTGAGAGTCTGGTTGAGAGACTGGTTGAGAATCTGGTTGAGAGACTGGTTGAGAGTCTGGTTGAGAGACTGGTTGAGAGTCTGGTTGAGAGACTGGTTGAGAGTCTGGTTGAGTCTGGTTGAGTCTGGTTGAGAGACTGGTTGAGAGTCTGGTTGAGTCTGGTTGAGAGTCTGGTTGAGAGACTGGTTGAGAGTCTGGTTGAGAGTCTGGTTGAGAGTCTGGTTGAGAGACTGGTTGAGAGTCTGGTTGAGAATCTGGTTGAGAGTCTGGTTGAGAGACTGGTTGAGAGACTGGTTGAGAGATTGGTTGAGAGACTGTCTGGTTGAGAGATTGTCTGGTTGAGAGATTGTCTGGTTGAGAGACTGTCTGGTTGAGAGATTGTCTGGTTGAGAGATTGTCTGGTTGAGAGATTGTCTGGTTGAGAGATTGTCTGGTTGAGAGACTGGTCACTATGGACATTATTAACCTTGCAGTAAGACATACGTTGTGTGTGTACCTGGCGACAGATACACACACATTGGTTTAACAAGACACGTAATCTAGGACATATTCATTAGAAAACGTTTCGGTCCTGGGACCTTAATCACTTCTAACCGAAACGTTTTGTAATAAAAACGTCATAGTGTTGGCTCACGTCTCTTTCTAAATCAAATATTTCTTGCATGATGTTAATTCCTTGTTTGTGTTGTGTACGATTGTCAGCACCAGGTGAGTGGATGAGGCTTTAACTGTATTATTTGTGTGGTAGCGACCAGTGAAGAGGCGGGGCCAGGAGCTGGGACTCGACCCCTGCAACCTCAACTACGTGAGTACATGTGTAGCACTTGGGTATCTTTGTTGTGGACACGTTTCACCACTGTGGCTTCATCAGTCCAGTGCAGAGAAGAATGGTGTAGATCAGAGTGTTTGAGGTGATCATTCCCTCAGTCTGGAGTAGATGCAATCAGTCTTCGCCCAGATGTTGCGTTTTTATTAAGACTGATGGACTGATCACATCGACTCCAGGCTGAGGGACTGATTACCTCAGACTCCTTCTGATCTTCACCATTCTTTGTATAGGACTGTTGAAGCCACAGTAAACATACCCAAGTGTTGTACCTGTGTCTAATTTATCAGCCTGTCGGTTCTCTGAGCTGTTTATCTACATATCTGTGTGTATGTCGTCATTGAAGGGTGAGGTATGGCACCAATGTGTATAGTGTATATAGGTCAGTGTTTACCATAGACTGAGGATGTGCCTCGTGCTGGATGAGCTGTGTATAGAGCTTTAGTGGCCGCTGCCTGAGCTTGTTCGGCAGCTCCCTGAGTTCTGGCCAAGTCTGACACCGCTAGCGTTTGTTTCTGTATGATTTTGTTGGCTACTGCTTGTGCCTGGCTCAGCATATTGCTCTGCTGGTAGTAGGCATCTGTGGCTGAGGCCAGCACCTGCTGAGCTACTGCTGCCTGGGCTTCTGCTGCTCCCAGCGCCTGCTGGAGGATGGCTACCTGGGAGAGTGCTAGGAGCTGGATGTTGTCTGCTGCCTGCACAGTCCGCTTTGTCTGCGCTGTCTGAGCTGCTTCCTTGAAGACAATGGCCTGCGCTAGTTGAGCAGCCTGCGTCAGCTGTGCGGCTTCTGCGTACTTGGCCGCAGCCGCAGCTTGAGCTTCCTGGGCCGCAGAGGAAGCCTTAGCCGCTACCTTCCGTGAAGCCTCTTGTGCCGCCTTGTAAGCTGCCTCCGCTTGCGACTCTGCCGCAGCTGTGGCCTTACCAGCGGCTCGGCTGGCCAGGTCAGCAGCTGAGTGGCCATGGTGGCCACCCTGGTGGCCACCCAACAAGAACTGGAGGCCACCCACACCTCCAGACTGTGAGGCCAACTGCTGCAACAACGAGTGACCAATTCCTCCAGTAAAGCCGTAGCCTCGCTTGTCCTGTGGCAGAAATTAATCGAATTAAAACACAATACAATAAAAACCGACATACATAAACCCACATGAATAAATAAACCAGAAACACTAAAACGAGAACCACAACACATCCCAAAAAAAACTATTTCGTCTTCTGTTTTATATTTTTGTGGGTTTTTAAAGCATTTTGGAAGAGATGTAAGTACAATAGCCTAGTAACTTACTTATTTACTTACTTACTTACTTACTAGCTAAAATATAAACAGTTGGGTCCAGACGCCCTGCAGTATATCTGGTGTTATGCGAACTGCTTCAGTGGTCGCAATTTTCAGCTCCTCTTGGGATGCAGGTTGAGAGATTAGTACGTTAATTGTGCTCTTTACGTATCCCCAAAGAAAGAAGTCACAAGCAGTTAGGTCCGGTGACCTCTGCAAGTGACCTGCGAGTCTTGGTCAGGTGACTTCTCCAAGTGGCCTGTGAGTCTTGGTCCGGTGACCTCTGCAAGTGGCCTGTGAGTCTTGGTCCGGTGACCTCTGCAAGTGGCCTGTGAGTCTTGGTCAGGTGACCTCTGCAAGTGGCCTGCGAGTCTTGGTCCGGTGACCTCTGCAAGTGGTCTGTGAGTCTTGGACCCCTGACACTTACTGTGTTGTCTCTCAGTGTACTCGTGGCACCTCTGCTTTTCACTGGGGGAATGCTGCATTTCCTGCCGAGTCTTTTGCTTTCTTAGGGAGTGATTTTCGTGTGCAAATTTGAGAATAGCCCGTCTAGGATTTTCCAAGTGTATATTATCATCTATCTTTCTCGCCTGCGTTCCAGGGAATACAAATCAATGGACTGCAACCATTCACAGTAAGTTAGGTGGTTAAGTGTACTTATACATGCCGTGAAAGTTCTCTGTACATTCTCCAGGTCAGCAATTTCGCCTGCCTTGAAAGGCGCTGTTAGTGTGCAGCAATATCCCAGTCTAAATATATTGTCAAGTCTCCTTAAACCTGGTGTTCAGGTTCATCTGTCAGTTAGGTACTGTAGGTTAGTAAATCCGTCTTTGGGAAAGACTAAGGTAAGCAAGCCGTACTGCTTTACTCTCTTGGCTTCTCCAGAGTTAATAATTCTTAAAGGTAAATAATTCTCTTGGGTATATAACTCTACTGGGTTAATAATACTTGTGGAATTAATAATTCTTTTTCGTTGATAACCATCCTGAGATTAGACTTGAGAGTACACGATAAACACTGATAACAGAGAGGTTTCGAGCCCTCTATTGTGGGTTCGATACCGCTCTGCTTCTGAGAACTCTCTACTTCTGTCTAGGTTAAGAACTATCGTGTATTATCTAGGTGTATGAGTCAAGAATATAATACGTGGTGACTGTATATATGCTGCCCAAGATAAGACAAGATTTCGTTCGGATTTTTAACCCTGGAGGGTTAGCCACCCAGTATAACCCAAGAAAGTCAGTGCGTCATCGAGGACTGTCTAACTTATTTCCATTGGGGTCCTCAATCTTGTTCCCCAGGATGCCACCCACACCAGTCGACTAACACCCAGGTACCTATTTGCTGCTAGGTGAACAGGACAACAGGTGTAAGGAAACGTGTCGAAATGTTTCCACCCGCCGGGAATCGAACCCGGGCCCTCCGTGTGTGAAGCGGGAACTTAGGCCACCAGGCCACCGGGCCACCGGGCCACCAGGCCACCGAATATTTATCACTTGTGATTCGATATGTCAAAGGCCAAAAGAATTTCAAAACGTATTCTGTTTCAGCTCATCAAATGAGTATAAAATAACCAGTCACAAGTTGATAATGGCTCTGGAAGGAGCGAAACGTTGTCTGAAGCTTTGAAGATATTTACTGTTGTGGTGTTTATGTAGAGACACGGGTATAGGACGACAGATGGAATTAAAAATAGTGATGCAACTTACCCTCTTGGGCTGTATTGAGGAGGTGGTGGTGGCGCTGGGGTCGGTGGTGCTAGGGCTGTTGGTGCTGGGGTCGGTGGTGCTGGGGACAATAGCTGGGGTGGTAGTGGGTGTTTCCAGTATGTCACCCACGGGGGAAGCAGTCACCCCTCCTGCTGGTAAGAGAAACTGTCACTCTCCCTGTGTTGCTGCTACAGCCATACAGGAGCTGTGAATCGACCCCTGCTGCCACAAATAAGTATAAACACTGTTGTAAACTAACATATACACAAGTCACAAAGTCTGAAGTTTATCAGCCTATAGAGAAACAATGTCATTCCTTTGCCCCTCGTCTAGGAGGGTAAATATCTTAGGTATGTGCACACGGATGCAACTAGTGTGACATTTTGTGTGAACACACTAGTTGCAGCTGTGTTTGTTTATCTAACTCTACGCGTTTAATAGTTCGTACTTGTCAGTGGAGGCAGGATTAAAGCAGTGTCCAGGTGTCAGTCAACAGTACCTAGGATAAGGCAGATCACAACCCAACACCACATCCAGTTCCTCGTTCCTCGTCTCCTGCGTTCCACTCCCATTCTCCACCGTCCTCTGGGTCTCCCTTCCTCCACCTTCTATAGGAATGGACGGCTGGAGTGAGTGTGGAAGAGAGATGTATTTGGATATGATGATCAGTATGGGGTCGTCCAGTGGCCAGTTAGTGTGTGGGTTGAGTGAGGCGCGCGAGGTCCACATCTCTTATATATCAACCTCACTCATGCTAAGTCATCTACTGAGTCATTGTTCATTCACTCCCACCTTCCTTCCATGACAATCAACCCAAACCCCGGTAATGATTTTATTGTGATGCCCTTTTTTTACGTGGCACAGTACATCCTGTGGGCAGTAGTGGAAAGGTCAGAGATAAATTGTACATCCAAGAATTGATAAGATAACAATGAGCCACAGTTATACTGCTAATCAAATCCCAGTATCGCTTCTGCCTAACAGAAGTCTTATCCCTGGGTAATACACCCGTGTGTAAGACACTTCAATCCTATTGGAAGCTGTATTCTGTGTAAGAGACTACAGAGCTTTTTAAATAATTCTTCCACTCATTGTAAGTATATAGATACAGCTACAAATAAGAGTCAAAGTGACTTGTTTCCATTGGGGTGGTCAGTAAATATATACACCAATATGGAATCGGATTTTCCTGGAGTATACCTGGAGACGATTTGGGGGTCAACCCCCTGAGCACTGGTCTGTTACCAGAGCATCAGGAGTAGGTCTGATAACCAGGCAATGACCACAGTCCGGCTGATCAGGACTGAACTTCAGGTGTGATCCAGAAGCCTTCTTACTTATGCTTTCTACGTACATTTCCCCTGTGATATTAAATGGTATGACAATACCGACAGTCTTTGACAACTTAGACAATATGCAGCAGTTGATATCTCTATGCTGGAAACGTTTCGCGCTACACCGAGTTTCTTCATCGGAGTTGGAGGAGGCAGCAGCAGTAGAGAGTAAAGAGTTGTGATTGTCCATCAGCTTATGGCACTCCTTAACACAGCTTAATTCAGTTTGAATACGAGACGAGGTACAGTACCTCAGCCTGGAGAAGAGTTTTATTCCAATGGTCATAGAAACAATGGGAAATGAAGCAAATGTAGGATGCTTTATATACTGATACAGCCTGCCACGAAGCGATATGTTTCATTAACTTGCCATTCCTAGCCTTTTTGTATCCATATGCTCTCGCGCTACCGTCCACAGGATGGATATGGGGTGCACAATAAACTAGCCACTTCGGTGGCAAAATCTAAATCTACAAATAAGAGTCAAAGTGACTTGTTTCCATTGGGGTGGTCAGTAAATATATACACCATCTCTGGAATCGTCTTTTCCTGGAGTATACCTGGAGAGGATTGTGGGGGTCAACGCCCCCGCGGCCTGGTCTGTAACCAGGCCTCATGGAGGATTAGGGTCTGATCAACCAGGCAAACTGACCACAGCCCGGCTGATCAGGTACTGACTTCAGGTGCCTGTCCAGAGCCTTCTACTTCTGCTTTCTACAATACATTCTCCCCTGTGATTATTAAATTGGTATACAATACCGACAGCTTGATAACTTAGACATATGCAGCAGTTAGATATCTCTATTGCTGAAACGTTTCGCGCACACCGTAGGTTTCTTCAGTCGAGTACAGAGGAGGCAGCAGCAGTAGAGATGTAAAGACGTTGTGATTAGTCCATCAGCCTTGAAGACGTAGTTCTGAGGTGGTCAGTCCCTCAGCCTGGAGAAGAGTTTTGTTCCATGGTCTGGAACAATGGGAAGATGAAGCAAGAGTATGGAGACTTATATACTGATACAGCCTGCCACGCAGGCGATACGTTTCAATAATAAAGATACCTAACTGTTGCACACGTGTCTTGTACATATGTGGTATACAATACCAAGATGATAAAGAATTATACACATGTACAACATCTGGGTATCTTTATTGTAGACGTTTCGCCATCCAGTGACTATCAAAACAAACTAATAAAGCCACTGATTGGCGAAACATCTATAAAGATACCCAGATATTGCACATATTTCTGATTATTCAGTATATGTTTTACTCATTAACTTTCCGGTATTTATAACATTGCTGACAACATCTGTCCTCTCCTAGATATCAATACCTGGAGAAGGTTTCGGGTCAACGCCTCGGCCCGGTCTGTGCCCCACGGTGGATCAGGGTGACCCTTAACATTCCTGCGCCTATTATACATATATTTCCTTACCAAAATGTAATCCATTAACATTACTTTGGCTATGATAATAAATTAGACACATGTGCAACTCAATAAAGATACCCAAGAGTTGCACATGTGTCTAATTTATCAACATGTCGGTTCTCTGAACCATTCATCTACAAATACTTTGGCTATACCAGACTAGAAAGGAGGGAAAGTGAATTTTTTTTATTCTACCTCTCGGAGACAACACGCTTGCAACAACGCCCTGTTGCATATCAATGGCCGCCATGTACAATGCACCTTTTGTCCAATTTAAGCAACAAATGAGGTGACACAACTTGATCTGTGTGTTGACTAAGATCCAGGTCTTCATTACGTTACGAATCTATACAGGATCGTAAGTTTAAGAACGGAGAAAGTCCATAACCAAGTGAATGTCTGAGTCAAAACTAATCTTATTTAACATTATAAATCAGAATGTAAATGGCCCTTATAAACTAAATAATATAGAGCTGGACCATATAACAAGTGAAAAAGACTTGGGAGTCGTGGTGAGTAGAACTCTGAGGCCAAGACAACAGTGCCTAAGCGAGGATAATAGAGTACCTGGAGGAGGGAGTATACCTGGAGTATACCGAGTATAACTGGGGTATACCTGGACGGTGTTCCGGGAGTCAACGCCCCCGTGGCCCGGTCCATGACCAGGCAATAGGAGTCCCCAGGTTATTCTACAGCTCTATACATCATTAGTAAGGCCTCACTTAGATTATACAGCTCTATACATCACTAGTAAGACCTCAGTTCTCGTCTCCATACTACAGAATGGATATAATACATTGAAAAACATACAGAGAAGGGTAACAAAGTTGATCCACTGCATAAGGAATCCTTCATGCGAAGATAGATTGAGAACCATGAACCTTCATTCTTTTGAAAGACGTTGGTAGAGCACTCAGCTCACACATTGAGTGTCCATGGTTCGATCACCGGCACGAGTGAAAACATTGGGGAATGTTTCCTTCAAACCCCTGCCCATAGCATGTGGAGTTCCCCAAGGTAGCATTCTGGGTCCCTTATTATTCTTGTGTTATGTAAACGACATGCCTATCAGTGTCAAGTGCAAACTGCTACTGTATGCAGATGACAGTGCTCTGTTAGTGTCAGGTAAAGACACACAAGATATAGCTAATGTAATAACACTGGAACTGGAGTACTGCAGCAAATAGTAGACAACAAACTATCGTTACACCTCAGGAAAACTGAAGCCTTACTCTTATTTACGAAACATAAACTGAGAAGGTTAAATAATTTTAAATGTCCATTGTAATGGGGAACCATCACCTCAGTTTCCTCAGTAAAATATCTGGGATTCTCTTTGACATATGCATGTCAGGAGAACTAATAGGGAACAGTGTAGTAAAGAAAGCGAATGCCGGACTGAAGTTCCTCTACAGACTAGCACAGTGTCTACCTACTGAGATACAGTGTCTACCTACTGAGGCACAGTGTCTACCTACTGAGGCACAGTGTCTACCTACTGAGACACAGTATCTACCTACTGAGACACAGTATCTACCTACTGAGGCTCGCAGGACCCTATATCTAGCCCTTATACAATGTCACACGGACTACAATGCTCTTCCTGGTACTCTGCCTTGACAAAAATACTGAAAGATAAACTGCAAATCAGCCAGAACAACATGGTAAGATTCATCCTGGACCTGAGTCCAAGACAACATGTAGACCTGAGTCCAAGACAACATGTAGGCCTGGGTCCAAGACAACATGTAGACCTGAGTCCAAGACAACATGTAGACCTGAGTCCAAGACAACATGTAGGCCTGAGTCCAAGACAACATGTAGGCCTGAGTCCAAGACAACATGTAGGCCTCGGTCCAAGACAACATGTAGACCTGAGTCCAAGACAACATGTAGGCCTGAGTCCAAGACAACATGTAGGCCTGGGTCCAAGACAACATGTAGGTCTGGGTCCAAGACAACATGTAGACCTGAGTCCAAGACAACATGTAGGCCTGAGTCCAAGACAACATGTAGGCCTGGGTCCAAGACAACATGTAGGCCTGGGTCCAAGACAACATGTAGGCCTGAGTCCAAGACAACATGTAGGCCTGGGTCTGGGTCCAAGACAACATGTAGGCCTGGGTCCAAGACAACATGTAGGCCTGAGTCCAAGACAACATGTAGGCCTGGGTCCAAGACAACATGTAGGCCTGGGTCCAAGACGAACATGTAGACCTGAGTCCAAGACAACATGTAGGCCTGAGTCCAAGACAACATGTAGGTCTGGGTCCAAGACAACATGTAGGCCTGGGTCCAAGACAACATGTAGGCCTGGGTCCAAGACAACATGTAGGCCTGGGTTCAAGACAACATGTAGGCCTGGGTCCAAGACAACATGTAGGCCTGGGTCCAAGACAACATGTAGGTCTGGGTCCAAGACAACATGTAGGCCTGGGTCCAAGACAACATGTAGGCCTGGGTCCAAGACAATATGTAGGTCTGGGTCCAAGACAACATGTAGGCCTGGGTTCAAGACAACATGTAGGCCTGGGTCCAAGACAACATGTAGACCTGGGTTCAAGACAACATGTAGGCCTGAGTCCAAGACAGCATGTAGGCCTGGGTTCAAGACAACATGTAGGCCTGGGTTCAAGACAACATGTAGGCTTGGGCACAGGCAACATGTAGGCTGGGTCCAAGGACAACATGTAGGCCTGGGTCCTAGATAAACATGTAGGCCTGGGTCAAGACAACATGTAGGCTGGGTTCAGAAACAATGTACGCTGGTTCAAGACAACATATGTAGGCCTGAGTCCAAGACAACATGTAGGCTGGGTCCAAGACAACATGTAGGCCTGGGTCCAAGACAAACATTAGCCTGGTCCAAGACAACATGTAGGCTGGGGTCCAAGACAAATGTAGACTAGGGTTCAAGACAACATGTAGGCCTGAGTCCAAGACAGCATTAGCTGGGTTCAAGACAAATGTAGGCCTGGGTTAAGACAACATGGTAGGCTTGGGTCCAGGCAACATGAGGCCTGGGTCCAAGACAACATGTAGCCTGGGTCCTAGATAACA